ATATATATATATACACGAGAGACGTAAAACATCACATCATATATATATACACGAGAGACGTAAAACATCACATCATATATATATATACACGAGAGACGTAAACATCACATCACATATTTATATATATACACGAGAGACGTAAAACATAACATCATATATTTATATATATACGAGAGACGTAAAACATCACATCACATATTTATATATATACACGAGAGACGTAAAACATAACATCATATATTTATATATATATACGAGAGACGTAAAAGTTCACATCATATATTTATATATATATACACAAACAAGAGAGACGTAAAACATCACATCATATATATAAGGTCCTACATCATTGCCCTTCAAAATAGTTGTTTTGACTTACACTAGTATCAAACAAACTCCGTATGAATACAATGTTGCCAGACCATGCAAATGCCTTTAAAAAGACTTCTTTGTGATTAAAGTATCTTTAGACTTAATGTTTTTCTTCATTTCAACAAACTTGGAAGAGAATAGTTATCCTACATTAGGCCCAAGTGGCTTAGGACCCCTCGAGTCTTGGAGTTTCATAATAAGCCCACAGTGATGATAGGGGTTGACAAAGCCCCTGTCAGCTTATCGTTCCACTAACATTTTTAAGCAACCTGTATCATCTTGAAAATCTTCATCATAACATGTGTTTGAAAATTTTTTATATAAGAATCTTCGTTACAACACGTGTTTCAAAATTTTTCATATAAGAATCTTCGTTACAACACGTGTTTCAAAATTTTTCATATAAGAATCTTCGTTACAACACGTGTTTGAAAAGACTTCATATAAGAATCTTCGTTACAACACGTGTTTCAAAATTTTTCATATAAGAATCTTCGTTACAACATGTGTTTGAAAAGACTTCATATAAGAATCTTCGTTACAGCACGTGTTTCAAAATTTTTCACATAAGAATCTTCGTTAAAACACGTGTTTCAAAATTTTTCACATAAGAATCTTCGTTAAAACACGTGTTTCAAAATTTTTCACATAAGAATATTCGTTATCACATGTAAGGTTGAAGCCGTCTAGCAGTTGACAATCTGTGTATGTAAGGTTGAAGCCATCTAGCGGTTGACAACATGTAAGAA